TTTTTTTTTTTTTTCCATTTTTTTCTATTTTTTTTTGTTTTTTTGCATTTTTTTCTCTTCTGTTTCAGCTGGGCTATCTGCACAGACTGCATGCAACACACACAAGGTCTACCCGGGGCAGCAGGCAGGGGACGAGCAACAGGTCGTCCGCCGCCCCGGCGCTCCCGATCGCCTGGCCCGGTCACCCTCCGCGGCCCCAGCGGCGGCTCGCCCCCCTCCCCGTGCGCACGGATGTGCCGGCACATATCCAGGCGGGCGCCGGAGCTCTGTGCGGGCCTCCTCCGGCCGTGGGTCATAGTGCCGCGGCATAGGCTGCGGGATAAGGGTCCAGCTGGGGCTTGCCCATGCCCGGCAGGAGGATGTAGGCCAGCGGCGGCTGCAGCCCCGGGCCGGGCCAGGCGCTGCAGTTGCAGGGGATCATGTAGCCCGGGTTACCGGGCGACGGGTGCGAGTGCGTGTGCCCCCCGGCGGCGGCCGCGGCGGCGGCGGCGGCAGCGGCGGCCCCGTGGAAAGCGCCCGCCCCGCCGGCGCCGGGGTAGCCCAACGAGGAGGCGTAGGGCAGCCCGGAGCCCGAGGAAGAGGAGGAAGATGAGATCTCGGCCATTTTGGAGCCCAGGTCCAGCAGGGAGTAGGGGCTGCTGGCGGCGGCGGCGGCGGCGGCAGCGGCAGCGGCGGCGGCCGACTGGGGGAAGAAGACGCGGGCGGCGGCAGCGGCGGCGGCGGCTGCCGCCTTCTCGGGGTTGGCCAGCAGCGACTCGGGCACCAGCCCGCCGGCCGCGCCGCCGTGCAGCCCGCCCGCCTTCAGCCCGTGCGGGTGCTCGTGGTCCGCCACGCCGCCCAGCCCGTAGGGCACGGGGAAGGCGAACTTGTCCTTCTTGAGCAGCGTCTTGGGCTTCCGCCGCGGCCGGTACTTGTAGTCGGGGTGTTCCTTCATGTGCATGGCTCGCAGCCGTTTGGCCTCGTCGATGAAGGGCCGCTTCTCCGATTCAGTCAGCAGCTTCCACTCGGCGCCCAGGCGCTTGCTGATCTCAGAGTTGTGCATCTTGGGGTTCTCCTGGGCCATCTTCCGTCGCTGCGCCCGTGACCACACCATGAAAGCGTTCATCGGCCTCTTGACGTGGTCCACCGGCTTGGACATGGTGTCCCCCTGCCGCCCCGGCGAGCCGCCGCCCGCCCCGCTCTGGCGGCCGCCTCCTCCGGGCTCGTCTCCCGCCTCCTCTTCCTCGCCCCCGCCGCGGTCCGCTCCTTCAAAACCAATCTCGGCGAGTACCCAGTCGCGGCGGCACCGGCTCCTACGGGTGCGGGGCGGCGGTACGCGGTGGCCTCACTCCGGGCGCGGGGCGCTTCCGAGCGGCAGCGGCGCCTCCCCGTCAGGGCGCTGCGGCGGGCGGCTTGGGCGGGACGGGCTCCGCTCCCCGCCTGGGCCTCGGAGCCTGCCTATCTCCGGGCCAGGGCTCTTCCTTGGAGCTCCCCGCAGACGACAGCGCACGGAGTTCAGACGGGATCGCAGAGACGTCTCGACGGCGAGAACGGGAGCCGGCGGCAGGCGAGAGGCGCGGGGCGTGGGGGTCCTCGTTTTGCTGCGGACGCGATGCTCTCCGGCGGTCTCCGGTGAGGCGGGGAGCCCTTCACGGGGCGCCCGTCACAGCCCACCCCGTGCCATCGCCGCCCGCAGAGCTCGGAGGGCAGCCCGCCACGGAACAGTGCGGGGCCGGGCGGGACGGGGCCCGCGGCGGCTCAGGCGCTGCGGTGCGGGCCCTGGGGGGCGCGGGCCGCCCCGCTTACAGCCGCCCCGCTCCGCCCGAGGGGGCGCGGCGAGCACTTCGCTACTCGCACATACTCGCCGGGCGCCCGGCACCGCGGGCCTCCTGGTTCGCGCCGCCGGACAAACTTCCCTAAGTTTCGGCGGGATACGGGGCGCTCCGCCTGCCGTGCAGCTCCCCCTTCTCCGGCAGCCGCCAGGTCTCTCTGGGTTTTCTTGGCCGCCGACTCGGAGGGGCGGCGGGGCGGGCGGGAGCGGCGGGGGGCGGAGGGAGGAGGAGGCGGTGGCGGCGGAGGAGGAGGCGGGGAGGGGGGGACACACC